CATGCCAATTGGCAGTGAGAATCAGCTGTGTCTGTAGTGGGAGAACTTCTATGCTGGAGACACCCCTCCAGGGCAAGACTTGCCTCAATGGGGCGTTGCTGCTCACTGAGTCTGCCCCCTGAGTGTGTCCTTTATGTTTCCATGGAGCTGCATACTGGATGGTCCCACTCTGACCTCTGGGTTTCCTGGCTCCTGGATCTCTAGGGAGGTGCTAATCTAGCCTTTGCCTGAGGCTATCCAGCAAAAGCCACCCTGCAGGGCTTGGGCGGGGTGGGTCCCACGGGATCAACAGGGTGGGGCTAGCACTTATGGCGTCTCCACTTCTCAGTGTCCTGGAAATCCCTGCCAGCCCCTCCGAGAGAAAGCTCCCCTAGAGTTCCGACTGAGCCAGACAGTCCCGCTTCTCCCGTATGAGTCTGGGTCCCTAGAGACTCACCCAAAACTGGAGCTCAGAGCCTGAGACTCCCTCCCAATTGAAAACGACAACCATTCCCTCAGCTGCCAGCCCACTCCGCACGCACCTCCGCACCTTTGTATTTTACTTCCGCACTGCGCCTCCTCTGAGTCTCGGTATGCTTTTCTCTTTCCTTCTAGTTGTAGAATTTCCACTCAGCCAGCCTTCCTGTGGTTCTGGATGATGTCCGTTCTGTCTTTTAGTTGTATTTTTGAAGTGGTTGTTCGAGGCAGCAAACTCCGGTGTTTACCTATGCTGCCATCTTGGTTTCTTGCCCCCAGATCTTAACTATTTTAAATAATGCTGCTATGAACATAGGTGTGTATATATTTTTTCTGATTGATTTTTCAGGTTCTTAGGATGTAGTCCTAGAAGTGGAATTGCTGGGTCAAACAGCAATTTCATTTTTAATTTTTTGAGGAAACTTCATACTGTTTTCCACAGTGGCTGCACCAGTCTGCTTTCCCACCAGCAGTGCACGAGGGTTACCTTTTCTCCACATCCTCCACCGCACTTGTTGTTTGTTGATTTATTGCTGTTAGTCATTCTGACAGGTGTGAGATCGTACCTCATTGTTGTTTTAATGTGCATCTCTCTGATGATTAATGATGTTGAGCATTTTTTTCATATGTCTCTTGGCCATCTCTATGTTCTCTTTGGAGAAGTATCTATTCATGCCCTTTGCTAATATTTTAATTGGATTGTTTGTCTTCCTGGTGTCGAGTTGTGTAAGTTCCTTATGTATTTTGGATATTAACTATCAGATGTATCATTGCCAAACAGTGGGCTCCCTTTTCATTTTATTGATGGATTCTTTTGCTGTGATTTTTATTTTGATGTGGTCCCATTTGTGTATTTTTCTTTTTCCCTAGGAGATGTATCAGTGAAAATTCTGGTATGTGGAAAGTCTGAGATTTTGCTGCCTATGGATTCTTCTAGGATTTGTATGGTTTCATGAATTAAATTTAAGTCTTTTACCCATTTTGAGTTTATTCTGTGTGTGGTGTCAGTTGGTGACAGTACCTATTTTTTAGTCACAAGTGCCATGAAGAGACAAAGAGGCCATGGACGCCTCCTGTGGCCATTGGGAAGCGTCTTGGCCATGTCATCCCATCAGCACAGTGTCTGACACACGGCAGCTGCTCAGTAATACCCACTGAGTGAGTAGATGAGCAAGTCCAGATGACATGGACAGGGGTTGGGGTCAAATTGGGGAGGCCTGACGCATGGGCAGGGCAGGCCCCAAGCCCAGTGAAGAGGCCTGCACTCTCAGGTCTATGGACCAGGCTCTGGACTCTGTTGCTTTCACCTCTTTCCTGGCTTCTCAGGGCTCTTGTTCCCTTGCCCCCTACTTGGTCTCAGTTTTCCTGACATTCAAGGATCTTGGGGAGAGCATGGCAGCCCCAGTGACAGATGGCTGGGCAGTGGACCCACACTGGTGAGTGCCTCCCAAGCCCATGTGTTGCAGGGAGGGGGGGGGGTGGTGCGCACTGTCCCTACCAGTCCACATCAGGGGCCACACAGGTGAGGGGAGAAGGGAGGTTTGGGGCCCAGAAAGAGTGAGACCTTGCTCAACAGGAGCTGTGGGCAGGCAGGAGAGCAAGGAGATGGGAGGAACAGCCACCAAAATCAGACCCACAGAGGGGCCCAGAGCAGAGCTCCAAGGAGGCAGAGTCGCTGCTCTCCGTGTTCTCTGACTGTAGAGTGACACCTGTTCCCTGGGGAAACCAGCTCACAGGGAGGGCTGCGGTCTGGCCCAGGGCCACTGAGAGCAAAGGAGGTCCTGGGGGTCCCCAGCCCTGGACTGGTGGCTCTGACCCCGCCCAGTGACTATGCAAGGCTGGCAGAGAGGCGGGCCTGCGTCAGAGTCAGCCCCCTCCCGTGTCTCTCTGAGCTGCTCTATCAGGGGAGAGGCTGGGAGGGGGGCTGAGGGCTGAGGGGCTGGAGGGCAGGAGGGCAGGGTGAGAGGCCTGCACATGGTGGCCAGAGGACTTTGGATCACACCCAAAGGTGAGGAGGCTTCCTAGGCCCACATGTGAATGGAGCAGAGGGCATGGGTGGACTTGGAATTTCTCAAGCAAAGAGCTTCACACCCCGCAACCAACCCCCTGCCAAGGGCATCGCTGCAGCCCTTCTCCTTTCCTGCTGTCCCAGTCCAGTGGGGAGATGTCCTGAGCCCACTATTCCCAGCTCCATACAAACCTGAGCTTGGGCTCAAGGTGTCTTTGACCCCACTGGCCGTCTTGCCTGCCTCCCGCCCTCTACTGAGCACAAGGGGTGGGGCCTGTGTGGAGGCTGCCACCCGTGTAGTCTTCAGCCTCTCAGCTTCTACCCTTCCTCAGTCTGGGCTCCTCTCTCTTCTTCTCACTGTGTTCCCTAGACCCTCGTGGGTGAGGATGGCAAGTGGCGAGTGAAGGTCGCTCCTTGATAAACACAGTTGAGGCAGGGGCACACGTCCAGGCGCTGAGCCCGTGGCCTTCCTGGTCACCTACAGCCTGCGGGTGTGCACCACTCAGGCCTCAATTTCCCTCCTGGCCCCTCTCTAGGGCTCAAGACAAGCCCCGTGTGAGCGCTGGAGTGAGGCCAGCGACGTCCTGTCTCCGCAGCTCTGCCCTTCCTGCCTCACCAGGCCTTATGCGGAGCCCTGTGCCCCCATCCCCATCTACCCAGCTCCAGTTCCTTGTCCCTGCAGCGCTGACTCAGGAGGAACAGATATGGGCCTTGGGTGGGGACTTCGTGTTAGTGTCACAAACCCAGGTGCCATGGGCTTCGCAGGGAACGCACGGTGCCGCTCCTGCAGGACATGCTGGCCCGGGCGGCGATGCCTGAGCCCTGCACTTGTCCCACAGCGGAGGCGCAGGCCTCCTTCTCAGGCTTCTGGGATTCTAAATAAATCTTTTTTAATGTTGGCGACTAAGCAGCACGGCTGCTGTCTGACTAGGGCGTGCTGGTGGGTAACTCAGGGAGCACCCTGGCCCCTTCCACACACCCAGCCGTCCTGACATCGCTCTAGAAGCTGGGAAAAATACCCGGATCACAATGTAATCAGTGGAATCTGAATGCAGCAGCCGGGCTCTACCTTAGCTTCTGAGTGCTCTCAGTTCTGTTTCAATGAGCAGCTTTCCTGTGCACATCATCCTGTTCGAGCCTCACAGTAGCCAGTGGAGCCATATTAACATTTATGTCAGAGTCAGGAGCAATGGCTTCCCTCCTCTTGCCCTGGGGAGGAGAGCTATGACTCACATTCAGGT